CGTCAGTTTTGTATTTCACAAAAGTGGCCTTTTCTTCAATCATAGCATCAACTGCCAACTTTTCACAGTACAAACTAGTAATAATGGCAATTGAAGGTTGTTGCTGATGGGTCAAAAATGGCAGTTCTTCAACCATCTTAACTGCTGAAACAAACCAAAGTATATATCAGTGAACAAAGAAAATAATAAAAATATATAGCAATAATCTTCTTCAAGTATTGAACCAGGTTTATAAGTATGAATTAAACATTATCATCTAAATTAAACATTATCATCTAAATTTCCAAGATGTTAACATTGTTTATATTAGGACTAATGTTCTCATCTTTGTTATTACAACCAGTATGCCATCTGGCCATTTCCAGGTGTTTACTAATCTGAGTAACCATCAGGCAATTTCAAGTTTAATGGTTGTGGGCGAGCGAGAATTGACACAACCATTTACTCCTGTCTCGATAGTAAGTCAATGGCAGTCTCCTCCCCAAACAAATAAAGAATGATGCACTACCAGTCATCGAAGTGCTCATAGATGAACAGAAGTGCTTAAACCTTGTAGATTTTGACTGCTCACAGACACTGGTGAGTAGATCTGTATGTTGCCTTTGGGAACATCAAGAGGTGAAGGTGTTGACAGCCGATAGGAAATCACTAAAGTGCCATGGGTGTGGTACATTCAAATTTGATGTTGGTCATGTTCAACCAGTGAACATTGAAGTCCTGTTTGTGGACAGAACATTGCTAGGCTTTGATCTGCTTCTGGGAATCAAGCTTGGAGGAATATGCATAACTAAATCAGTGCAGTTCCCCTATAGAGATAATACTCCAGTATGCCACCATTTCTATTGACAAACCTGATTTTAGTATGCAAGGAGGTCTGGGCTGCCTTGTGGACATCAGGAGGTCTGGGCTGCCTTGTGGACATGGGCCAGTGGTTAAATACACAAAACACTAAAGAAAAAAATGAGCTGGAGTACACTATGCCTGATGTTGTCTGAAATGAGTACAAAAATGAGCTGCAGCTGTTACTAGACAATGAACAGTTTCTGCCATATCCTGAGAGTGAGCTCAATCCACACAAGGGCCCCAATTCCGTTAATGGCAGTGGTTCAGGAGAGCAATCAGAAAGTTCAGCCAGTGATTGATTACAAGGAATTTTGTGGTAGTGCTCAAGCAGACACAGAAGTGTTATAGAGTAGTTTCACAGTGGAAGCTTGTATTTCACTAAGTCGGTCCTAAAAAGGTTCGACGTACAAAACGTTAGGAACTTGATATAGTTAATGACGCAGCAATCTAGTTGTGGTGGCTGATACTTTAATGTCCGACATCGACTGACTGACCAACTCACTGAGCGACTTAGCGACTGCTATTCCTACTTATTATAGGTGGGAGAGTCTATTAACTATAGAAGAGGTGTGTTCCAGTATAACAGAAGTGTACATCCAGAAGTTGGGGGAATGGTGGTGGCAAGGAGTGAATGTGTCCCTGTTAGATTTGAGAAAAGCTTACCTATAGATACATACTGACAAGGCATTGTGGCCCTTTCAAATTGTGCTGATCAAAGTCAAGAGGTATTGTCTTATGTGATTAGGATTTGGCTTAAATGTATCACCTCTCATTATGAGGACTATCATCTACTTGGTCATGTTCTAGAACACATAAATCAAAGATGCCACAGCTTACATAGATAACATCTTTGACAATGAATCCTTGGTTTCTACAATACGGATTAGAGAACATCTATCTAATTATATAATCCGTTGCAAAAACCCAAAGAGACTGGAAAATGGAGCCAACGTTTTGGGCCTGCATATCTAGAGAATGATACTCTCCAATGGAAGCACGGAAGTAAAGTCCCAAACCTTGACACTTTCTCCATGTGTAGCTGGCTAATATCAACTGCCTATATCAAGTGTAGTGTCTAAGAGATGAGATGACATAATTGAGGATGCCTTCATCTAACTGAGACAGTAACCAGGGTACAAGAAAACTGAGACAGTAACCAGGGTACAAGAAAACTGAGACAGTAACCAGGGTACAAGAAAACTGAGACAGTAACCAGGGTACAAGAAAACTGAGACAGTAACCAGGGTACAAGAAAACTGAGACAGTAACCAGGGTACAAGAAAACTGAGACAGTAACCAGGGTACAAGAAAAATTGAGACAGTAACCAGGGTACAAGAAAACTGAGACAGTAACCAGGGTACAAGAAAACTGAGACAGTAACCAGGGTACAAGAAAACTGAGACAGTAACCAGGGTACAAGAAAACTGAGACAGAAACCAGGGTACAAGAAAACTGAGACAGTAACCAGGGTACAAGAAAACTGAGACAGTAACCAGGGTACAAGAAAACTGAGACAGTAACCAGGGTACAAGAAAACTGAGACAGTAACCAGGGTACAAGAAAACTGAGACAGTAACCAGGGTACAAGAAAACTGAGACAGTAACCAGGGTACAAGAAAACTGAGACAGTAACCAGGGTACAAGAAAACTGAGACAGTAACCAGGGTACAAGAAAACTGAGACAGTAACCAGGGTACAAGAAAACTGAGACAGTAACCAGGGTACAAGAAAACTGAGACAGTAACCAGGGTACAAGAAAACTGAGACAGTAACCAGGGTACATGAAATGAATCCTGTTGGTGGAGACTGGTGTGAGTATCCACAAAATGAAGGTATGGGTAGAGACTAGTTCTTTGGCACTGAGAGCGATATTGGAAATGAACAGCAGCATTGTTGAGGATGCTTTTTGGTTGCATCCAGCAGGAGATGCTAAGAATATTAATTCAGCAGAACTCAATGCAATGATAAAAGACCAATCTGGCACTCTAATGTCAGATGTTGGTCTTGCTCCTGGTCACTGACTGCATGCATTCATCGCTGGATATCAGACACCCTAACTGGGAAGGCACATGTACACACAAGGGATACCAGTTAGATGTAAATAAGACAGCGGTTGAAAAATGGATGTGATGCTCCCCCATTGAGTAAATTGCCTCACTAGCACAAAGAAGGAACTGAACCGGTACAACTATGGTGTGCTACTGTAAAAAAGTTGAGCAAGTATCCAGTGGCTCATATCCACCAAAAAAAGTGGGCACCTGAGTGTGAAGAGGATACTGTATTTTGCCCGAGTATCAATAACAGTTGCAAAGTCAGCTGTCAAGAATTTTGAAGCTTGCTAATCTATTGACCTGGTGCTAGTACATTGGCAGAAAGAATGTGAAAAACAATTAGAGCAGGTTAGTAATGGTTTGGTTTATTTTGTTTTATGGCATATCAACACCTCAATGGGTTATTTAATGCTGACAACATTTTTAGGATAGATTCATATGAATAGAATATGTATTCTTTGGTTTAGATTGGTTTGGTTTATTTTGTTTTTGCAGCATATCAACTTCAATGGGTTATTTAATGCCAACAACATTTTTTATTGCTGGTAATATTTTGTTTTGTCAAAAATCTGTTTCTGGTAATAATTTTTTTTCAAAATTGTATTGCTGGTAATAGTTATTTATTCAAAAAAAGCTGGGGTAATAATATGTGCTACCATGTATACCTGGGATGGTACCACCTGGGACCTGGGAACCAGCAATTAAGAGGTGGTTCCATGCTCCTCAAAATCTGATCAGAGGCCTTGCTGCTGGATGTAGTTTAACGTCTTACCCAGGACGCGGATGTAGTTTAACGTCTTACCCAGGACGCGGATGTAGTTTAACGTCTTACCCAGGACGCCGGATGTAGTTTAACGTCTTACCCAGGGGCGGATGTAGTTTAACGCCTTACCCAGGACGCCGGATGTAGTTTAACGTCTTACCCAGGACGCGGATTTTTTAACGTCTCACCCAGAACGAGGATGTAGTTTATATTCTTACCCAGGATGGATAATTAAAAAAAATTACAGCAGTGGACACTTCCTAACCCTTATTGTAGTCCATCTCAATTTGCAATATAGTGACTGCTTCATCAACAAGACACCACCAATGTCACTAACCAGTTAATATCAGTTTTTTTTTAGTTGTGTCCATTGACCAGAATCTTAACTGACAACACAGCTTTCACTTGTGGGAACTTTAGAAAATTCCTGTGACTGGGGTAAGCAGCTTTCATTCTGATGTGGTTATGCACCAGCCAAGAATGGTAGAGTAGAAAGAAGTCACAGAAGCATTAAAACCATTGCGGCTACAAACCAGTGCTCCATACCAGAGGTAGTCTATTGGTATAATGTCGCACCTAAGGACAACCTCTTACCTTCTACAGTGCCAGCAGATGCACTACATAAATACTACATCCACATATCAGGCATAGATGCAATGCCTCCAGCCAAACCATGGAATACTCAAGGATGCTGGATGTTATCTGGGTCAATACTTTGCAAGGGGGGTGTACAACCAAGTTTAAAACAGGTAACATAACCAAGGTTAACAGTTCACGCTCAGTACAGGTTGACAGAATTCCCCAGCATGTGAAGGACTTACCTCCATGTTCAAAAAAGGTACATGATTCAACAGAAAGTGAGCTGTTAGTCAACTTGAGATTGACTTTGCCAGGTGATTCTTCTGATAACAGCAGTACAGTGTTTGATGTAGGAGAACCCAATGATTCATCCAGTGGTGATTCATCTGAAGATGAAGCTTATATTGCTCCCCTTGAAGGAGTACTCAGCAGAGGAGGCCTCCCCCTGGTTACATTTGCCGTGATCATGCAATCAGTGCCGTCTGTAGTGAACTACACACTGACAGTGAGAGGGGCAAAGACGTGCAGACTTGTACACACAATGCTAGAAGGAAATGATTACCTCTGGGGTGAATACAGATTTTAATGTGTCTCTCATGTAAACTGTCCCAAAAGGGAAAATGGCAGCTTCACAGGTTACCTTTAAAACGGATAAATCCCAGAGTCTGATACTCTCTCATGAGAGCATCTTACTGCATATGTAAATTTTGGCTGTCAGTAAGGAGATAAAAAGGGGCATAGCAAGGTGACAGGTAGAATAGTTACTGTGTTATCAAACAAGAGATAAATGTTGCAGTCAGTGAGTGTTTGACTAGAGGAAATGAATTTGTCTATATTTCTGAGATGAGGTATTATCTACATTATTTACATTATTCAGACTATTGTCCTCATCTTTGTCATCATATTTATTTCAATGTTTCAGCTATTGTACACTCCTCAAGGACACATGGCACAGTGGATAAAGGCGTTAGTTAGATCCAGTGACAGGATCCAAAGAGTGTGAGTTCAATACCTGCCTAAGGCAGTGGAGAACTTTCAGAGGGAAACTAACAAGAGATAATTGATAACTGACATTCATTAAACATGCCACGTGGAACTAGAACAGTCTACACCAGTGAGTGAAATAAAGGGTTCAGTTCGACATTCCAACCACCTGAAGAAGGCCAGAGCATACAGCGGCCAAAATGTTGTAATAAATATAGCAACAAAGATGACGACAATAGTCTGAATAGTATAAATAAGGAAATGAATTATAGGAATTGTTAACAAGCCAAAGAAGAAAGTATACTTTTTGCTACATGAACATATTCCACAGAAAAAAAATTTATGAACAAATATTGTAATATAAAGAAAAAAAAGAAAATATTTAATACTTCGGGTATCTATTTTGATGGTCAATTATTTTGATTTATAAATTGTTACATCCCCGTTTGTTGCCGGGGATGTAACAGTAAGAGATAGATCAAGTATTGACCATCATAAAGACTGAAAATAAAATTGACAAAGATTATTGTTTAAGGTTGACAGATGTCTTAATTTGTTTTTTTTTTTTTTTACGAATTGGTCAGACCCAAACTCAAACAAAAACATTGTTTTCAATCGTTATGAGTCTATCAATTGAATAGAATTTTATTATAAACAATTGTCTTGTAAGTGGAATTTTTAAAGCATTCTGAATGTAAAAATAAAGAAAAAAAGTGTGCAAGACAATAAGAAACACTACCTGCCAAAAAAAAAAAAAAAAAGTCAAGTTTTGTTGAAATCAGTTGAAAAATGTAGGAAATCTGATCCAATATATAAACGTTCAGACACACGCACAATCTGCCTTTTATAAGTAAGATTAAATCATTTCAAAAAATAAAAATAAAAAAAAAAAATAAATCCTCTAAATACAACTCTTCCTTGACTATCTGGACACTTTGTAACTGGGGTTGAAATTTAAAAATCTGCATAAGTAAATATATTATCAAAAAAAAAAAAAAAGCCATTTTTTGAAAGAAATTTCACTTACAAAATTTTCAAATGTTTTGTTCAAAGTTTGGCTCATTTTAATTTTGTAAAAAATTAAAAAATAAAAAATAAAAAAAAAATGTAGGTTTTTGAGTTTCTAGATGGCCCAATATTTTTCTGCCACTAACTCCCAAAGCGGATTTAATTGAGTGTATTTGTAATGTTAACTTCTGGTTGAAAGAGCAACCAACTTAAAAATTTATGAAAATCATTACTTTGATGTTTGAAATTGGGCATTGGGGTTGTTGAACTTTGACATGGCCAAATATCATTATCATCATTTAATTTCTCCACAACAGATAACATGATACCTTTTTCTTTTGTCATTTTAATTTGGGGCCCATTTCAATTTAAAAGTCTGAGACCATGATGTATAACAAAATCATATTGAGAAATAAAAATAGAAAATTAGCAGGTTAATTCATTAATATCTATTGTCCCATTTTGTAAAAGGTAAAAAAAAAATGTGAGCCAAATAATCATAGGTATTTACATACCATCTGGATTGTTCTGTTGGCTCACAGGTATACGCATCCACATTCCTTTGTCAACTTCTTTGATAAGACCTCGGTTCTGGAGGTCATTCAACATGACCACAGCAGTAATCATATCTGACTGCTTTACTCTGCTATTCCTGAAAAGACATTTGACAAGATTGAATTATCCAATACCACTTCTGGAATGGTAAGGAATAAAAAAAAAAAAAAAACATTAAAAAAAGAAAAAATTCTTTAAATACAAAGACACACCATAATAAGTGTGTGTGTGTGCCCACACATATTACATGATCTACACTTTATTCATTTCTTAGTATAGGCATAAAGACTGATCTTCATTGAAAATGTTAGAAATCCAATAAAATGTATGCAATGAGTAAGTGCTGAAAAGTTCTCAAACTCAGTAACTAATATTTAGCAAATTGGGATATGAGGCTAAAAACCTAGTACCTATTTTTTTATTAGGGCTTTAAAACAAACACATGTACATATATACAAGGTGACTGAAAAGTAATTACCTATTTTATGTATGAGTGGCCAACCAAGAGTCCTGACTTATCCTCTTTGTATGATGCTTGGTCATTTCAACCAATTAATAAGCTTAAAACTTTTTTCTGAATTCTTTATGCACATAAGGATGAATGAAATCATTTAAATATTTGTTTAGCAAATTCTATTTGTGATATGTTGATTTATATAAGCAATTTAATTCCTTAAGAACTTAAGACATTTAGACTTTGCAGAAAAAGGAAGTACCAAGATAAAAAAAATAAAAGACCAACTCACACTAAGATATCTTGTATTGACATACTGTTCGGATAGGCATCTTCAAGACATTGGATCATCTTCTGTTTTTTAGCTAGCCATATAAGAGAAGACTTTAGTCGTGCCTTTTTTGCAACCCTACTGCAGTCACTATCCGTTTGATCTGGAAAGAAAAACAAAATTAATTTTTTTTTCCAGTAAGCTTCACTTTGCAAGGCCCAGGGAGGTAGAGGCAATTTGTGCATAAAAGAGTAGAAGATAACAGTTAACCCTAGACTTGAACAGGTTAAGATTGTAGCAACTAGAGAAAAATCCTGTTGAGAGTCAGTTCCACAGGGAAGTGGTTCATGGAAAGAAGCTGCTTGAGGGGAACTTACTTCTCACCAATGGAATACAGAGGAAAGGAATATGGATGGTTTGCCATGTAAGTAGAATGTTCTTTGCCATGATTCAATGAAAGAAATAAAAAAGAAAAAATTTAAAAAAATGGATAATCCAAGCCATTATGAAACTACAGAAAAATCCCTCATATCTAGAATCCTGCATATCCAGACATGATTTTGATATGTATATTTGAACTATTTGGATGATATGTAACTGATGTGAAATTTCTGTTTTTCAGGAAATTTACTTTGGATAATTGCTTATGCTTATTTCACCATAATGGCTTGTATTTGTGCAAAAGATGATGGGAATAAGAGGAAAAGAACAACTTTGGAGTTATCGCAAAAAGTGAAAATTTTAAACAAACTAGACACTGGTGAAAGTTCATTGTAACTAATGGCTGAGTTCAACATATGAAAGTCAATATTATATGATATAAAATCTTCCAAAGAAACTATTCTCCAGCATTCACACTGTCACAGTGAACAAGGAAATAAAAAAACATGACTGTAATGAAACCTGGATTGAAATTGAGAAAGCTATTGAAAAGGTTGTCAGTTTTATGGAAAGAAAGCCAGAATTCAGCTATGATGATTGCAATAATGCACACAGAGTTAAAAAGTGTCTTTCATTTAAAACATTTCAAGAACAAAAGCAAAATGAAATGTGGAAGAAGTTGAGAATGACATTAAAAGAGAAAGAATCATATTGCAATAACAATTAAAAAATCCTCATTACATTGTTTTGCTTACATGGCATACTTAATGAATTTTCATTAAGATTACAATTTATTTCTTTTTCCTTAAAATCAATTCTGTTATATTTAACTCACATTAGCTTATTTTGTTTACCATAAAACATTAAAAATAAATATTAAACCTGATTTCATTTCTTTTATTTTAATCTAAATATAACCCCTCATATTGGGTTTGGTTCATTTTGGTTTATGGCATATCAATCTCAATCGGTTATTTAATGCCATCAAAATTTTTATTGCTACTAATATTTTTTCCAAAAATGTATGCTGATAATTTTTTTTTTTTTCCCCTCAAAAAATGTATTGCTGGTAATAATTATTTACAAAAATGTTCTGCTGGTAATAATTTTTCCTCAAAAAAATGTATTGCTGGTAATAATTATTTACAAAAATGTTTTTTCAAGAAATGTATTGCTGATATTAAAACCTATTTTTATACTTTCATAATGTTTTGACCCCAGTTTTTGCCTATAGTTGGGACCTTAACAAGTGCTACAACCCTGACAAACAATTAAGGGGTGGTTCTACACCCCTCAAAACCTCCTGAACAGAGGCCATTACACTTGCAGTTTAACGTCTTACCCCAGGATGCTGTCATATTTGGAAGGCCTAAGTCTGGTTGCCAGGGATTCTATTGTATCTTCAAATAGCTTCATGTTTTGTTTTATTTCTTTTTATAACAGTATAACTATAAGAGTGAAAGAAAAATAGAAGAAACATTTGATAGAAATCTAATAAATAGACCTGTATAAATTTCCTTCCTTCTAAAGTGATGTGCCATCTTCCCCACAGCTTTAATGTAATGCCAATGTGACTTTTCTATAAATTGTTCACATAAACTTTCCTCTATGGTACCTAGGCTTTATAAATTTAAGCACAGTAATACTTTGTCAACAAGATCATTTTACAATTGAAATGACAAGATGTAACTAAGTTTCTTCTTTTGTCCGTCTCACTTGTGGAACTCTCTTCTGGCTTCTTGCTTCCCATTTAACTTTGATCTTCAAAAAGTTAAATGCAATATCAATCATTATCTTCTGTCTTAATTCTTCTTTTATTGTCATCTCTCCTTAATAGTAGTTTTTCTCATATTCTCTAACACTCAATAATCCCTTTGCATCCTAGTGGCTTTATTGCCTTTGATCTTCAAAAATTTAAATGCAATGTCAATCGTTATCTTCTGTCTTCTTAATTCTTGTTCTTTTATTCTCTTCTCTCCTTAATAGTAGTTTTTCTCATATTCTCTAACACACAGTAATTTTGCATCTTAGTGGCTTTATTGCCTTTGATCTTCAAAAATTTAAATGCAATGTCAATCGTTATCTTCTGTCTTCTTAATTCTTGTTCTTTTATTCTTCTCTCTCCTTAATAGTAGTTTTTCTCATATTCTCTAACACTCAGTAATCCCTTTGCATCCTAGTGGCTTTATTGCCTTTGATCTTCAAAAATTTAAATGCAATGTCAATCGTTATCTTCTGTCTTCTTAATTCTTGTTCTTTTATTCTTCTCTCTCCTTAATAGTAGTTTTCTCATATTCTCTAACACTCAGTAACCCCTTGCATCCTAGTGGCTTTATTGCCTTTGATGTTCAAAAATTTAAATGCAATGTCAATCATTATCTTCTGTCTTCTTAATTCTTGTTCTTTTATTCTTCTCTCTCCTTAATAGTAGTTTTTCTCATATTCTCTAACACACAGTAACCCCTTGCATCCTAGTGGCTTTATTGCCTTTGATCTTCAAAAATTTAAATGCAATGTCAATCGTTGTCTTCTTAATTCTTGTTCTTTTATTCTTCTCTCTCCTTAATAGTAGTTTCTCTCATATTCTCTAACACTCAGTAACCCCTTGCGTCCTAGTGGCTTTATTGCCTTTGATCTTCAAAAATTTAAATGCAATGTCAATTATTATCTTCTGTCTTAATTTCTGTTCCTTTATTGGTTCTTGCACCTTAATAATGTTTTTCTTTTTCTTATATTCTTTCACACTCAGTAACCTCCTGCTTCTCAGTGGCTTTGTTGTTGTAGTTTGAAAGAGAAAATAGTGTGGGAGAAGAAACAGCAACAGGTGGCAATTTCTTTTATAGAAAGATATTGCAGAAAGATGAATTATTAGAAGGAAGAAAAGCTATAAAAACTTAACCAAAAATAGGAGTCAGGGATTTTGTTCATTTCATTTAAATCCTGTTTTATTATTCTCTCTCAATTTTTTTCTCATTCTATCACACTCAGTAACCACTTGCGTCTTAGTGACTTCATTGCCTTCCTTGGATGAATTTTTTTTTTTTTTTTTAAATGTAATGCTACTTACATATTCAAATCAAACAGTGAAATTCAAAGATAAGTAAAATCATATGTAAAATTCAGAGGGAAGTGAAAAAGAAAATTTTAAAACTTTAAATTGATAATTATGCCCATCACTTTTGTCCAAGGAACCTTTCTGGAAAAAAATAAAAATCTAAGAGACAATAAAATTCATCTAAAAGACAACATAACTGAAAACAGCTGGAGTCATAAGGAGAATGTTGGAATATGGAAGAGACTTACTGTCACTTGATCTCTAATGAATGCCACCAGATATCATTTGTAAGAAAACTCAATGAGTACAAAATAATAAAGAATAGTGAGGAGAGTGCTGGAGTATTGAGGAGATTTACTGTCACTTGATCTCCAATGAAAGCCACTAGATACCATTTGTAAGAAAACTCAATGAGTACAAAATAATAATGAAGAATACCGAGTAGAGTGCTGGAGTATTGAGGAGACTTACTGTCACTTGATCTCCAATGAAAGCCACTAGATACCATTTGTTAGAAAACTCAATGAGTACAAAATAATAATGAAGAATACCGAGTAGAGTGCTGGAGTATTGAGGAGACTTACTGTCACTTGATCTCCAATGAAAGCCACTAGATACCATTTGTTAGAAAACTCAATGAGTACAAAATAATAATGAAGAATACCGAGGAGAGTGCTGGAGTATTGAGGAGACTTACTGTCACTTGATCTCCAATGAAAGCAAAATTGCCTTACTCTATAGCTTGAATCAGTCAAGTGTTCACATTCATCTTATACCCTTTTCTAATTTTGTCTATTTTCTGAACTCATTTTCTATTTGTATTCAGACAGTTTGATGCCAGTATCCCTTCTTGATTATTCACATATCCTTCCCAAATATGTTAGTTCCCTAGAAGTTTCCAATAGTTCTTTGTGATAGTTTATCAAATGATAACAATGAAAATAAATGAATCACACAGTGTCATTCATATGAACATGAATGTATTTGTATGTTTTGTCTTCTGTGAGTGTTCATGGGAGGTTGTAGCAGTATTATTTTTCATTTCTTATGAATGAAATGACAGAGGGTCAATTTTAGGCCCTTTTTCTTTAAAAGATAAATTTTTAAAAATTTCAAAAATGGCAAATATTTTATCAAAGTAAATTCTTGATACTAAAGTAGAAGTTAATCTGTAGTCTAAAACCTTGAAAAAAAAAAAAAAAAAAAAAAAAAAACTTCCCTTCTCTTTGTGACATCAAAAAACTCAGCAACCATCTAAATCTACCTCTGTCATATTTTCATTTGCAAAATTCTGTTTCCTTTTATCACAACTGTAACTTGCAATTACCTCATGGTTTTGTTCTATAATGTTCAAACATCACAAGCAAAACTGTATCAGTCAACTAAGTTCTCTCTGCCCAAATTCTAGGGGTACTTTGTTTACCCAGTAAATCTATCTGTTTTAACTTCTAGTGCAAACCAACCAACCATTATTGTACCTAACAGACTTACAATTTTTTTAACTCTACATATATAAGTTTATTTGTTAGACTTATATAAATTATCAGCAATTAAGTTAAAAATACCACTTGTATATTTATCTTATTTTTCACTCATAAAACCTGCCTATTAATTCTTTTTCAAAAAGCCATTAATTAATTTTGACCTGCTCCTGCAAATATAGATCATAAAACTTGTGTTACCTTAAAATCACAAATCTTACTATAAACTATAGAATTAAAAAAAAA